GTGTTTGTGGTTGTGTGTTCGTGGTTGTGTGTTTGTGGCTGTGTTTGGTGTTCGTGGTTGTGTGTTTGTGGTTGTGTTTGTGGTTGTGTCTTTGTGGTTGTGTCTTTGTGGTTGTGTGTTCGTGGTTGTGTGTTCGTGGTTGTGTGTTTGTGCTTGTGTGTTCGTGGTTGTGTGTTTGTGATTGTGTGTTTGTTGTTCTGTTTGTAATTGTGTGTTGAGGCCCGGCGGGGAACACTGGGCGCGGATTGTCGTGGTTGAGGTCCGGCGGGGAGCTGAAGCGCACTCGTGCTGAGTCGACCATGGGCAGTGGCAAGGGCAAGGGTGGCAAGGGCGGTAAGGGTGGGACGCCAATACTCTTCACGGCCACCAGCTCTATCGAACAATACAACCTACCCAATGGTCACGCAAGGCCGGTGTCGCCGGCCTCCCAACTTTTGACATTTTTCCCTGGCAACTCGCATACCACGGCACTGCCAAGTATACAGCACGCACCCTCAGCCATGGGAAGTACACCGGCTTCATCGCCACCCGGAGTGTGGCCGAATCCGTTTTTGTCACACACCTCCTCCAGGAAATCCGGGAGAAACCAAAGGTGGTGGCAAATGTGATGATGATGAAGATGATGTCACCAAGGAGAGATATTGCCACTGGTGTCCGGATGACACTATTGAAATTGGTGCCTGGCTGCCCCAGCAAGTGGCCGCCAAGGGAAATGGGAAGTTTTCGAAGCAGCGTGTAGTACGATGCGAATCCCCGAGCCCTAGAGCTGGGGAATGTCATGAGGCTGAAGTACAGGTGGAAGCTTCCTATGTCCGCTTTGTGGCCAAGGGCCCTGATCACACTGATTGGCCCTGATCCTCCTTGGCTTAGGGCTCCCATGATGTCAGAGATGCAGTTCTTGGCAAGCCGGTGGGCAATGGTCATGAGCCAACTTTGCTCTCGGGCTCAGGGTGTGCCCTTCCCTGAAGGAATTCCGTGCTGTCCTCAGATGAAACGAATGAAACGGAATGAAAGCATTCCTCAGATGAAATGGAGGAAACGGATGAAAGTTTGTCACTGTCATTTGTCAGCGCGGATGGTCGTGGTTGAGGTCCGGCAGGGAACACTGGGCGCGGATGGTCGTGGTTGAGTCCGGCGGGGAACACTGGGCACGGATGGTCGTGGTTGAGCTCCGGCAGGGAACACTGGGCACGGATGGTCGAGGTTGAGCTCCGGCAGGGAACACTGGGCGTGGATGGTCGTGGTTGAGGTCCGGCGGAGGGAGGACAAGGAGGAGCAGAGGGAGGAGGAGGCGGAGGAGGACGAGGAGGAGATGGGGCTGACATAAAATCTAACAACCCTCGTGGGGAACAAAAAAGAAAAGAGGAAGAGGAACAGACAAACAAATTCATGGCGATGGGATTGGCTCCCAACTGTCACCGGCCCTCTGCTACGTGGCCATCACCCTCATTGAGCACGCTTGGCAACAACTTCACAACAACCTTCTCCTCCACACCACCCTCCACTTCACCTACTACCGCTACGTGGAAAACCGCTTCATCACCCACAATGAGCAATCTCTCACACACCCAGCCATCCAAACACTTGTTCACCAAGATTTCTTCGGCGACCCCATACCGTTGAAGACTTCCACCTTCTTGGCTTCACCATTGACCTGGCCACCCGCACAATCACCTACATACAACCATCCCCATCCTGGAAAATCCGGGACCCCACATCAGCTGGCAGCCGACGACTGGCCCTGTCAAGCCTAGCATCGCGCATACACACTATCTACGAGTACACCTACCCCTCCACAGCGGCCGCTGCAGCGGCTGAGCAACTAGTCAACCTGTACATCGCCAAAGGGCACTCCACCACTTAGTGTCGACGCCTTTTGAATCCTTTTGAGGAGTTCGTGTTTTTGATTACCTTTTTTCCGGGGGGGATGCCCCACACCTGAAGAGAGGGCATCTAACAAAGAGGCTCTTCAGGTTGTGACGTTTGCTGACGTACCTGCACCCGGAACTACTGATCACGCTGTTCCACTCTTGGTTTGATTCATGGCGGCTTCGCATGCTACTCCCCCTAAACAGGTTTCCCTCAGCCGCTTTCAGCTGCCGCGCTTCTGCAGACAAGTGAACACTTTGTTAAACAGTTCAACTGCGCTGACCACTTCACCTTGCGTTTCCCTCATCCATTTCACTGTGGATTACGATAACTGCAAACCCTGTGACTAAGTGTGTGTGAAAACCCAGGAAACATATCTTCCCAGAAACGCCCCCGAAACATTGATTTTTGCGCATATGTTGTGTTTTTTCCCCACTCACCCCTGGAGAAAGTGCCGGAGATTTGTGAACAAAAATTTTGAGTGCTTTGCTGAGGTGTGTGATTCTTCTCTCAGATGGTGTTGGAGTGCTGGAAGATGAAACCTTCCTGCAGGATCTCAACGCCTCCCAGTGCTGTGGCGTGAAGTTGAGGGCGTGCTGAAGTGAAGGGTGAAGTGGTTTGGGTGAGTTTCAGTTTCAAAGGGACGTCGCCGCAGAATGAAAGGGGTGCCAACAAAGATGTTTTTTGCCATCTAAGACTAAGGCCTGTTGTGATCCACATGCATTTTTGTGGCAAACAAGCAGTTGTTCTTGTGAAGCGTTTCGGATTTCGTGCTTGTGGCACGGAGCACGGACTGTGACATGAAGAAGTAGCTGGGAGAACATGCCCAGCCAGTGCGTTGACCCTTATTCCTCGACTATGGTTGAGGGGCAGGACATGGGAAAACTCACTTGTTGGGGCTCTGAGGAGAACACCTAGGACCTAGACTGAACTGAGGAGAGAACCAATGAGATTTGCATTCCGTGATGTCACCCGTGATGTTCATCCTCACTGCATGCATGTTCTGCCTTTGGAGACGGCTCCACCCCGCAAAACGCTCCCATGGACCATTCGAAAGGTATTCGTGGTGTCGGCGGGTCTTGGTTCCAAATCCCTAACACTCCAGTCGTACCGGACCGTTTCGAAGGTGGGACTGAGGGGGGTGCCAGGGTCCAGTCCTACCGAACCTGAGGTACGACTGCAGCCCTCAACAATACCAACCCAGTTTTTGGAGCTCCATGGTGCTCTTCGGTGGTTGGTTGCATGAGTCACACTCCGGCGCCACGGTCACACTCGCGCGCACCGAGGTTTCAAGTGCTCCGGAAGACATGGACGGTCACGGTGCAGGACCTGCGAGACGAGGTCGCGAGGGGTGCGAGGGGTGGTGTAATTCAGTTTGGATGGATGGTTGGTGATATACTCGTTTGGGCTCCAGTCGCACCTTCATCGCACCTTCTTAGAAGGTGGGATTGGGGAGTCTTTGGAGGGGTTGGAGCGGGATAGATGTGCTGTGTTGTTTCATGTCAACATGTTTGTGTCTAAAATGTATATGGAGGACAAAAGCATCTTCATATGTTCACTGCTCAGACAACTTGGTTTTACAGTGGATTCTTCTCCTCGTTGAAACACAATGTCGTTGTCATGGTTATTAGAAAGAAAGGGTATAGGTGTTGGAAAGAAAGAGTTCGTATTGAGTGGGGGTATAGGTGTTGGAAAGAAAGAGTTCGTATTGAGTGGGGTTTTGCAAATAGAAATGGTTTGGGATGCTTTCGAACGGCGACCATCCTCACTCATTTTTGCCAAAAGAAGCCTTAGCCAGTCGGTGCATTTTTGTCAAAAGGTGAGTCTACTTCGACCTGTTTCGTCGCATGCGACCTTGGTGATGAGGTGTTCTACTCCATTGGACCTGTTTCGATCTTTCTCTGGAACCCCTGCAATGAGGAAGGAGGCCCCTGAGTGGGGAAGGGGGGTTCCGGGAGGTGGTTTTCCACTCGTGGTTCCTCTTATACACTGTTGTTTCTGTCCACATCCTTTCGTGACATCTGGCATAGACATGGATTGCAGAAGGACCGATATGGTATTCCTGCCGTTCTGGTCGCTTCATAAGCCTATCCTGTCCTACAGTCAATGAGCAAGCATGGAAGGTAAGCAGAGCACCGAGCACCCTTTCTTTGAGGAATGCCATCTCTTTTTTAGTAGTTCTCCACATTTTTGAGCTCCATCATAGGGAATAGGGACAACACCACATGTTTTAGTTCTCCACGAGTTGTCCCCATTCACCTCATCCTCCATAGCTCCGGCCCTGCAGCCTGTGACGAGGCTGAGCCAAAGGTGCTGCACATCGCCACCAACCCGGACGGCGGCTCGGACGGCTACGTTGTCCCGTGGTCTAGCCGGCGCGTCCTGAGCTGGCGTGTTCGAAGAAGAGGGTTGTTTCATCTTGTCTCTGTGTGTTTTCTTGTTTAGACGAACTCACACATAGGGTTTTGTTTAGACAAACACTTGGTTTATCATGTTGTCTCTGTGTTTTCCTCTTTTTTGAATAACTCACGTTGATATAATATATATATAGGGACGGTTATGAAGCACGTACCATGGGATATACACACAGTGATAAGACCCGTTGACATAAAATTGGTCAGGATTCTCCAGGATCCCCAGACTCATACAAGGGCATCTGATACTAGGAAAACTGCTCTTAAAACAACCTGGACCCTCCAAAGTACCTTAAAAAATGGGACATGACCCTATAAAAACAGGTATTTGTACCCATTTTCTGAAGTACTTTGAGACTCCAGGAAGAAGGATTTGTGGACTCCTCTTGAAACTGATCTCAATCAAGGATTCCCCGCGAGAGTGCTCTCAAACTGGTGGGAACTTTTGTCTTGACTTGCACGGGCTTGCAGAGCTTGTACTGCTCTCCAATGTAGGTATATAGGCCAGTCCCATGGAGTGTGTGGGTTACAACAGGGAACACTTGCAAACAGTTGCGGCTCCAAAACTAAGCATTCTCAGTTCTTCTGTTCTGCGTGGAGTTTTCGTAGTATTTGCGATGCCTCCCTCCAGGCACGCTGCGCGATCCGTGGCCAGAATTGGGTGGAGGGAGCTGTAGAGTTAGAGATGTCGAGTTAGAGTTGGAGGGACGTCAGAGTTGGATTTGGGCATTTACCGAATCAATGTTCAGTAAACATACTGAACCTGGTATGTTTTTTGTCATTTACTGGACCTAATGTTCAGTCAGCAGGAAAAACACTGATGAGTCTCGTTGGGGACGTCAGAGTTGGCTGCATGTTTTTTCCCGAATGCGTAGCGAAGGGTTCTCGTTTAACTCTGGGGGTCTGGGGGTAGAGTCTTGTTCGCGATCCGTTGCTTCTATGTTCGCAACCGTCCGCAACCGTCCGCAACCGTCCGCAACCGTCCGCAACCGTTCGCAACCGTTCGCAACCGTTCGCAACCGTTCGCAACCGTTCGCAGTAGGACGCTAAGGCGCTGCCATTGGGGGACGCTTTTGCAAGTGACTTTTCATGGATGTGTCACGTGTCAGTTTGCGACGCTATTCCATTGTGATTTGCATGAAAATGACATGCCGCGCAAGAAGCGTGACGCATTTCGCTGCACAGGCGCAGCGCTTTGTGAGATCCTCAGTTTGCTACGCAGTTCCATTGGGATTAGCCTTTGGAGAGTCGTGTTTTTGGGGTGTTGGATGTGGCCGTGCCATTGGGATTTGCGTTTCAGGGTGTGGCATCGAAGCTCTGTTTTCGTGACCAGTCTCAGCTGAAATGGCGATTTTGGTGGATGGGAGTGTGCTCAGAACGGGTCGAAATCATTCCAAACGTGTGGTGTGGTGTAAATTTTGTTGAAGCTGACATGAGATGATATTGCCACTTTTCGTGGCAGGCGCAGTACTTTGTGTGGGTTTTGAGGCGTGGAAGTGCGATTCTCGTGGCAGGCGCAGGGAATGGTGAGGTTGCGAGGTGTGACGGAGGCGCAGGGAATCGTGAGGTTGTGAGTTGTGGTATAGAGGTGAATGTCGCTGTCACATTGGGATTGGCGTGTGAGCGGATGTTGTTTGGAGGAGCTGGAATCGCGAAACTGCTTGGCAGGGCTGCGTGATGTGTGTGCTCCGATGGGTGTTTCCGCTGGACTTTTGGAGGAAGTCTCGTGCGAAACGTTCGTTTTGCAGACTTTGACATGTGACTTTTGGAGGAAGTCTCGTGCGAAACGCTCGTTTTTGAGACTTGACGCGTGACTTTTGGAGGAAGTCTCGTACGAAACGCTCGTCTTGCA